TCCAGGGTAGGTAATTTACTCCTGGCTTTTATTGTTTAAGAGAGGTAGATGGCAAAAATGTTTTTTTTTTGGGATATAGGATAGTTTTTTGTATTGTTCTGGAAAGCCGAGTAGCTAAAAATTTTTAGTGTTTTTTGTGGTATTCAGCGTCTTAAAAACCTGAAATGCGCATTCTCAGGTTATGATTTAAAGGCTCCTTGAAAATACAATCCTTACAAATTTTTGAATTAAAGTTTTTTTAAGCTGGGCAAGAGTCTAAGATCTAAGACCTTGTAATCTCCTCTTAATGTTAATTTTTAGGATAGCTCGTCAGGAAGTCTAAGCTCTTGTGGCCCTTTAATAGCCTAATTTCGGCACTTCCCACTCCCCAATGTGCACCCCGTAAAGCATATTGGCACGCGTAAAGCGCGCGGGATGAGCCAGCGATCGGGGGTGGAATCTTGTTTATGACTAGCGCGGGGGGGGGGTTAGATTCTGATATCCAATACCGTCGACAGCCGCGCCACCCACCCACCCCCCGAAATCTCGCCCTAGGGGGTGGCCGAGACCCGGGACGCTTTGGTAGATTTTGAGATTTTGGCGGAGATTAGTCGGCTAATTGGTGGGGCATAATTTAGCCGGGATCATGAGGCTCTTTGTCGAAATTTACAGACTTTCGCAGAATCTTGTGTATATCAGCTTTATGGTACGTGGTTCAAATACCTATTTTTCTCTAGGACTCTTTTCTCGCTCGCTGTCCCCCTTTCTCTCTCTCTCTCTTTCTCTCTCTCTCTCTCTCTCTCTCTCTCTCTCTCTCTCGCTCTCTCTCTTTCTCATTTTTCGTTTTCGGGCTTCTCCAAAACTACCAAAATCTACCAAAAATATAAGTATGAGCGTGACGCGTAGGTTACGGCTACGTCGCGCTTCGTTTCACTCGTGTAAACTAGAGACGCTTGAGAGCATGATAGAGGCAGGTTCAGAATTGAGAATGGAGAAAAAGAATCCGTTTGGAGTTTGACCTCACTTTCTTACCATGCCTCAGCCTTACCTCACGCAACCCAGGGCCATTGGGTCTAATTTAAAGGTGAGGAGACAGTTTAGTCCGCTTTAATTGGATTTATTTGTTTCATACTGCCGCTCTCCCTTTAAAACCCCTGCACATGGATCGACCGCCTTTTTTGGGGGGCATCCGTAGACTCGCGCGCGGCGCGCGAGGAGAGAATGATGGTCTGGGCTGTGTGGGTGGTTGGGTGAAAATGATTGGATCAATGAATGTGGAAGACAGAGGTGAAAGACAGCCGTATCCCCCCGGTTCTTCTCTCCGTTTCCTGCTACCCCCTACATCCATAGTCTTCTTCGACTCATTCCATACCCGGGTATACTCATTATGGCCTAATTATGTTATTTGGGCTTGGGCTTGGGCTTAGGCTTAGGCTTAGGCTTAGGCTTAGGCTTAGGCTTAGGCTTAGGCTTAGGCTTAGGCTTAGGCTTAGGCTTAGGCTTAGGCTTAGGCATGGCTTAGGCTAGGCTTAGGCTAGGTTTAGGCTTGGGCTTATGCTTAGGCTTAAGCTTAGGCTTAGGCTTAGGCTTAGGCTTAGGCTTTAGGCTTAGGCTTAGGCTTGGATTTATCGTCGTTTAACCGCTTTAAAGGGATTAGGAAGGCAGATTTCTGGCCTATCGTAGCCTTCCGGAGTCGCCAAAATTCTTATTTTTTTCTCGCTAAATGCAGGATTTTTATCAAGACTATTTTGTATGCAATTTCATGATTTTCACGTGATACGATACGCTACTCCTGACTCACCATTTCAACTTTTGTTTTTTTTTTTGGAAATCCCGGTGACTAACGATTTTCTAAGGTCAATTGATCTGATTTCAGGGCCAAATTTAGATCCAAATCTAAATCTAGATCTTCCTATCGTCTCTTTTTCCTTCCTTTTCGATCTACCATCCATAGTATGGCAGCGTAGTTTTTCGGAAAAGTCGCCAACCCCAAGAATGACCTTGCATTCTTGAAATATGAGTCCGGGGTCCGGTGCCAACGCCGCGTGCGTTTGCGTGCGATGGGATTATCACTTTCTGTGTTTCGACAGTTCCAATTTCCAAATCCCGAAAATCCGGACTGATCAGAGCAACTCAGCGAAACTAGTTGCCTTGTCATTTTAAAGAATCTAGTCTTCCACCTTTTTGGGATCGTCCCGGTCACCTGATTTGTGCATTTTGGGGTGGGGCGAGTAGGAATTTCAGGAATTCCGAGATGGGGATGTTGTTTTTCTTGAGGGGAACATTTTATGTTTTTTTTTGTAAGATTTATTCATTTGTAAAACTTCCTGGAATCCTTTATAAAATGTCTTTAGAGATTAGTGGGAGGTACTATTTGTAGTATTTTGCGCTAGAGGACCATTTTTCAGAATTGATTGAAATACCGCAGCTCGTAACGCACCGTTTAGCGTTCACGCCAATTATTCCCCTATCACCTGCCATAATCGACCCTGTTAATTAGGTTTTGTCAATAAAAGTGGTTATGGCTGTGTATGTGTGCAATCAAGCCAATCGTGCTCCTCAATGTCTCCCGTCTTCCATCACACCCCGCATCCTCCAACACCGACCGATTCGGGGGTGCTGAACCGGCTCCTCCCCTCCGGGTCTACCCCTACCTCTCGCCCATCACCAAACCAGACTAATTTTTGAGCGTGAATTTGCAGGAAAATTGACGTGATTTTGGAGTGATAAGAGAGTACTTAATTATTGATTTTGCTCGATGAATCGAATCCCGTTTGATCAATGATTAATTCTAATTTTGCCAAATGGCCGATTTTCCTATCTATCACCTTTTTACCGTTTTTCGTTTTCTCCCGCTCTCTCGCACTCTCGTGTTCACCACCTTTATTTTTTTCCATAACCCCATCGCTTTCTCTCACGTTCTCTGACTATTCGCTCTCTCGCTCTCTCTTCCGGGCTCTCTTGCTCGTTTTTCTTCGCTCTTTCGCCCTCCTTCGCTCTCTCTCTCTCTCTCTCTCTCTCTCTCTCTCTCTCTCTTTTATTATTTCTGGCTCCGGGCTTCTTGCTCTTCTTTCTTTCTTTCGCGAATTTTATTTTTTTATTCAGTAGTTGGCCATTTATCCAATTTTTCATTTCTCGGATCCAATTTAACATTTATTTTCCATTTATCTATTATCATTGCTTTCCTACTTCAAGCAGTTGAAACGTGCCTTTTTTGCAGCTACGTCCCTGCGATGTTTCGGTGATGACGATGGGTGCGAGGAGCCACGCCGTTCTTCGACGTTTTTTTATATTCCTACTGTATTGGCAAGGGATTTACACGGAGCGGTCTGCGTTTCCGCCGACGGCTTATGCGGGTAGGTCTCTCTCCCTATCTCGCCCTCACTCTCTCTCGCTCTCTCTATCGTTCTCTCTCACTCTCTCTCCCGATCTACACTACGCTCTAGTATAAGTTGCCAAATTTTAGCACGTAATTTTCGTAACAGTTCTATTAGTCGTGGGGGCGAGGATGACCTCAAATTTCCCATCAGTCTCCCCCGCAGCCAGCCCAGCCCGGCAGCACAAATCTTCTCCACCTTGGGGTCGCCCCCCGGAAAAAAGCAAAAGACGCTCGACAAATTGACTAATCCATCGCTCCAGCCCCCCCCCCAACCAACTGAAAATGCGCACACTGCCACACCCCGCGGGGTCAGCCGTTTGAAAGTTGGGGTAGTTGAAAAAGTGGAAAATTCATAAATTTGGGCACCAAATACATCAAAAGAGCCAGAGAGAGAATAGGGTGCATGCCTAATTATAGGAAAATCTTGAGAAACAGCAATTTATCGCAAAATTTACAAAAAGCGGAAGAAAAGTCGTAATAGTGATAATCACAAGCTGCCTTTCCGTTTTATTGTGTTCTTGGAACTTCACATAGTTCCTCTCTTGCTCTCTCGCTCCCGTGCTCTCTCAGTTTCTTTTACTCTCATACTCGCACGCTCTCGTTCTCTCGCTCTGGTGCTCTATCTCGTGCTCCTTCGCTCTCACGCTCTCATGCCCTTTAGCTATCCTCGCATTATCAATCCCCCTCTCTCACGCTCTCTCTCTCTCTCTCTCTCTCTCTCTCTCTCTCTCTCTCTTTCTGTCTTTGTTCTGAATCCTAAAAATCTATTTCCAGGAGTCTACTTCCCGCCCCGGTTTATGCAATGGGAACCCGAAGAATACACGAAATTTCTGGGGGATAAAGTATCGATCGCCCGAGTGGTTAATTTTAAATTGTTTTTTAGGTGAAGCTCAACTGCCAAGTGGCTGGCGGGGGTGACAATGCTATAGAATGGCAAAGAAATGGTGAAAACATCACCCAAGCCGAATACGCGATGCAGCGTGTCAAAAAGCTGCAGCCATTTATGCTAGAGATCCCTTACTTGGAAGTTAGGGACCAGGTAGGGAAATTTTTATTCTAAAGGGACCCGAAAAGCAAATTCTCGCGAAGGTTCGTTCTTCAAAAAGATGAAAATTCTCGTACCATATCCGGCATATTTTACGAAGAAGGGCGCAAACACTTTTCTTGCAAAATGACAAAGATAACTGGTTTTTCGAAATTTCGATGAATGAGCCCAGTTTTCGTTTTAATAGAAATTTAAATACAATCAACGGCACCTATTTTCTTGATAAGTTTCAATCAAGCCCATTCAGGGTACATGGACCTGCAAAGTCTCCAACCCGGCCGGATCGATAAGCAGAGCATTCCAAATCGAGCTGGCTGGTAGGTCATTTATTTGTGTCTTTCTTTGCTTTTGTGGCTGTTTTGCTGTTTTATGGCATGTTTTACTTCAGTGCAAGGCGTACATTAACTTTTACTACCTGATACCTTTACCATCTTCTTTACCCATAATTCCAATAATTTAAAATTTTCAAGGAATGTCGCGCTTTGGTACGGATTCGGGATTTTGATGGGGTTTTCGAGGGCTCTAGCGTCAAATATTTGAAAATGCCTGTTGCTCCCTGGCTATAAATCACAATAAGCCTTTTTATTATTTTCCTCAAGCACATTCCGCACTCCAAGCCACGTCGCACGAGAAGTAGCCGATAGATTTTTGATCCTAGACACCAGGAATTTACTACAAAAAAATGTATCGGATACCTGTTGCAAGATATAATAATTATTCGAATTCCCAGAAGCTCTCTGACAATAGATAGTCGCTGCCTTGTTTGCACCAGTGCAGTAATTTAGCGTTCTGACGACGTTTCGATCCTAAAAACGTCTTTCTTCTTCATTTTGCCTTAATTTATAGCCCTATAAATACCTGGTTTTACCTTGCATACCTTATACTCCCTTACCTTGTCATATAGCTTCTGCGTTGCCATTAAATTCATATTAGCCGTGCATTGGATGGTGGTGTTGTAAGGGTTATAACAATTCCTAAAAGATTGATTCTGGTCAATTCATTGATTCTGAACTTACTCTTCTAGGGCCGGATCCTGACTACGACGTTTTCGGGTCCTAAATTTGTACAATGGTTCAAAATCCCAGATTTTCTAACTACCCAATCACTTCCAGCGTTGTAGACGAAATGGGTTGAGGCATCTGGCAGCCACACGCCTCTTAAAAAAGAAATAAGGAGTTTCTAGCCTGCAACTTACTCGACGTCGGCTCTGGTACGAACGTGATCGGGGAGAAGGGTTTTCTCTAAAAAAAGAGGAGAATTTCAATTTCAAGCATTTTTGATTCGTTGGTAGTAGTTATCTGTAGTTACTCAAGATGGCGAATAAAATACGCTAACATTTTTAGGTCTATTTCTATGAATTCCATTCCTTACCGTAGTTGTCGGAGTCGTTGAAGTCGTCGTAGTAGTAGTAGAAGTTGTTGTTGTTGTGGTCGTAGTCGTAGCAGTTGTCCTCGTCGTCGTCGTTGTCGTAGTGGTAGTAGTCGTCGTGGTCGTCGTGGTCTTCGTGGTCGTCGTGGTCGTCGTGGTAGTCGGCGTCGTAGTGGTGGTTGTTGCAGTAGTACTTGTCGACGTCGTCGTAGTAGTCGTACTCGTTGTTGTCGTGGTCGTCGTCGTCGTAGTCGTGGTCGTCGTCGTCGTCGTGGTAGTGGTAGTAGTCGTACTCGTAGTAGTTGTTGTCGTCGTTGTCGTAGTCGTCGTCGTTGAAGTGGTGGTAGTAGAAGTCGTGGTCGTGGTCGTGGTCGTGGTCGTGGTCGTAGTAGTTGTACTTGTTGAAGTGGTTGTCGTCGTCGGTTTCGGGGTCGTTGTTGGGGTTACAAATTCTAAAGGGACTCGATACCTTTGGATTTTAATAGGTTGCGCCACGGCAGAATACGCATGGGCTATGCAAACTAGCCTACCAGTGCACTCCCAATCCGGATCCGGCACCTGCGACTCCAGCGGGTCCGGCGTCGGTGGGTCAATGGGGACACAAACCCACAATTTGTCGATCGGGCCGCCCTCAAAAGAACTTTGTGATTTAGTCATTTTTGGAATTTGGACTGCTTGCCAAAACACTTACCACTTTATACCCATCGGCGCAACGGTGCAAAGGGAATAGACAAAGGGTACGGTTGCAAGGGATCAATCTGCTGCTCGGTCCGCTAAATATAGGAATTTCAAGGTTTCCAACCATTTTTCTAATACTCCTGGTCAAAAAACAAAAAACCTGTCACCTTGGGGGAATCGAACCCAAACTCTTTCTTCAAAACCTAGGGCCCTAGCCACTACGCCATAGCCCTCACACGCGTCCTTCTCGCGTCAAGCGGCCTTTAAACTTACTCGCAAGGGCATCCATATCGCTCGGAAACACAATTTCTGGTCTCATTCTGTCTGCCCATGTAACCACAAAACCCCGAACATTCGCCGACCTCCTCCCAGTCGGTCCAGGCTCCTCAAAATTATGCTAATTAGCTGTAAAACGGGATCTGATTACCTCCAGTCGGACATACGGCGCACTTTTGAGCGTTGGCAAGCAGGAATGCTACTAAATATTGAAAGTATATATTTTTAAAGGGATCTGTAAGGATATTTTTAACTGTAAACATAAATAACGTGTAACACGAAAAATCGGCATTTCACGGCGATTTATCACTCGCTAGCCCCTTTAAAAACCTACCCGCAACAATTGGCAAGCCTAGCCAGGGCTTGAGCCAAATCATGACTTTTGAAATGACTTCACCAAAAGTTTTTCGAGCTTAAAAGCAAGAATTAGCATAAACCGAGAGAAGTCTGGGTCGTAAAAATCGCTCGATGTTGCGTGCGCATGGGAAAACAGTAGTTTGGCATCTGTCAATATATTCTGTCAAGTCCTGGGAATGGTGGGAAGTTTGGAAGCGATGGATGGTGGAATTGGGCATCGAAAATCATGAAAAACCAAGGGAATCGGATTAAAGGGGCAAGGACAGCTGATTTTTTATGTTTGTAAGTACAGTAAAGTTTAATAGTATTAACAAAATTTTATTTGGTTGGCATATTCGCTTCTTCATTTTCCTGATGTTAATAGCCGACATCTCCAAACGGATTCGGCCCGAATGGATCCTAAAATTTCTGATTTTTTAGAGATTTTCAGCGCAATTTAGAAGATTTCAAAATTTTTTTGGATAGATTCAAACGTACGTCATTGTATGGGATCGGAAACGGAATGGGTGGTAGTGGTTTTGCACATTTTGGACATGGGAGTGTCTGGATTTGTTCACCGCTAAATACGAACGTCATCGAGAAGTACTCTCTCTCTCTCTCTCTCGCTTTCTCTCTCTTCCTCTCTCTCCTTCTCTCCTTTGCTAACTTACGAGCAACGCAACCGCGGCTCCGTTAAACAGAGTCTAGCTTGACGATACGATCCCTCCTTTCCGCACTCTGTGTTGCACTTCGACATCGTAATCCAAGGACCCCAGACTCCTAAAATTCCAAAAGCTTATTATAAATTAAGAAATTCGATACCTTGACCTCCAACCGGCCCTGGTTGAGGGCCAGGTATCGGCCAGTTCGGGTTTGGTTCCGGATCTGGTTTAGGCCAAATTGGGCCAGGTTCCGGTCCGGGTTTCGGCCAGATTGGACCTGGTTCGGGTCCAGGCTTCGGCCAAATCGGGCCAGGTCCGGGACCTGGTTCGGGCCAATTCGGATGCGAGTCGTCTCGATCGTCTTCGAATTCTAAAAGGCGCTTACGAAGAGCTCAATTCTTAAACGATTTTTGGCGTTTACCGACTTTACAGGCCATTACGTGCATCATAACATACCCCTGCACCTCCAATTCGGATCAGCCCTGTCCTCGCGTGGCTCATGTATCGGCCCGCAGATGTACTTTTTTTGTTCGTGGGATAGAACCTGATCAGCAATCTTATGCAATGTGAAAGCGTTACCTTTCGATACCCTTCAGCGCATGTTCGATTAGGAAAGAAGCATAACGTATCCGCGCATGCTGCCACGCGCGTGGCTTCTCCTCTAAAGGGGGTTGTGAAGTCTGGCGGTTGCTTACGTTCAGGCTGGGCTTGGGCCTCGGCCTGGCTTAGGCTTAGGATTAGGCTAAGGTTTAGGCTTAGGCTTAGGCTTAGGCTTGGCTAGGCTTAGGCTTAGGCTTAGGCTTGAGGCTTAGGCTTGGGCCTCGGCCTGGCTTAGGCTTAGGATTAGGCTAAGGTTTGGCTTAGGCTTAGGCTTAGGCTTAGGCTTAGGCTTAGGCTTAGGCTTAGGCTTAGGCTTAGGCTTAGGCTTAGGCTTAGGCTTAGGCTTAGGCTTGGGCCTCGGCCTGGCTTAGGCTTAGGATTAGGCTAAGGTTTAGGCTTAGGCTTAGGCTTAGGCTTAGGCTTAGGCTTAGGCTTAGGCTTAGGCTTAGGCTTAGGCTTAGGCTTAGGCTTAGGCTTAGGCTTAGGATTCGGCTTAGGCTTTGCCTTTGGGCCATAGTCTAAAATGTGTCTAAAACCGACCTACAAGGACATCCTGACTTCTCTGAAACACAGGTCCTCGCCTCGTTTTGACGGCCCTTAAACCCGCAATTCCAACTGCACCTGGAGACTGCTTTCCATTCGGACCAGGCACCTAAACGATTAGATTTTCGCTCATTTCTCAAGAATCTCGACCAGATAGCCTCTCAAAATCGTGAAAAATTCGTTTACGCGCGGACTAGAGGCTAAAAAACAAAAAGAACATGGAAAAACCAACCACCAGAAGGACAAACTTTGCATCTTCGCGAGTTGCTGTTGGCTGCCAATATTCTTATTTTGATTTTTCCATTAACATCTTACCAAGTGACACTAGAAATAATAAAAAGAATAAGTCAAGCCGGAGCATTCCGGAAAAGTGGCGCAGACAAGTAAGGTAGTAAGGCTAACACCCAGCGCGTGGCGAGGCTATAAATCAACCAAATTACTTTTGGCGGTATATCTCAAAGAAAGATGTGTTTTAATGCCCCCAGACGTGACGCAAAATCGAATATTGATCTAGCAAAGGAACTATGATGTCAGAATAATAACAAAAAAACTATTTAAGTTTGAAAACAAATATCAAAATTGAGCCTTACAAACTTCGAAACTTTTTCTTTTTTTTTCTTTTGTCCTTACTTTAAATTATTTTTGCTAGTACAATAAGGAGTAATTTTAATTGCATTAGTTTTAGTAATCAATCATTGAATCTTAGGATCATGAAATACAGGGATTGGGATTGGGATAAAAACCGAACCACCGGATCCCAATCCCCCAAGTCTCCGCCCTGCCAAGATTCATGCACTCCTCTATCTACCCGTTCCCTAAACTCCCTTTCCCTCATCAATCCCCCTGGCCGCCCCTTCTCTCGGCCCATGTAGTATAGTGGTTAGTACTCCACGTTGTGGCCGTGGCGACGGTGGTTCGATTCCACCCATGGGCAACTCTTTTTGCTTTTTGGAGGAATGGATACGTTGTGATTGTTAGACGACGTCGTCACCAGAATCACTCAAAAAATGTTTAAGAACTTTTTTTTACGTATTTGCAGCCACGGTGTCCTAATCGCATGCCATTTCAGATTTCTGTGACTTCTTCACCGGCCTGCCTGTCGCGATACCTATGGAATGCATCTGTGTGTGGTTCTACACGGTTCGCCCTGTCCGGAATGACATCAGCTACACTGACATCGAGGCGAGACCCGAAGATTGTCGTCCGTTTTCGAAGAAAGTGCGAAAAGCACAGGAAAAGCTGCAGGCAGGTTACTGTCTTTATTTATGTTCTGAGAATTTCCTGATTTTAGACTATCATTCCCAAAATGATCTTTGCACGCTTTCCCTAATTGCCTCTGCTGGATTTCCTGAAAAATCTGTCTAAATTCCCTGCAAGAATAGCGAAAATCCCCCAATTGACGTTGCTAGCATGATATGGCAAACCTTTAAATCGATACTTTTCCCTTAACAGCACGTTCCAGAAATTCCGAGAAGAGCAAGAACGACAGCGAAATTTGACTTCCACAACATCAACGAGTACAGCCATTCCAACGACGACTTCAAGGACCACAACCTCATCAGCTCCCTATACCACTACGTCTCCTCCTTCCATAACCGCATCCATTGCTGAGCCGATCGCATGGAATGGGAGCTCCCTGAATGCTACTCTTCATATAATCAGAAGTAAGAATTGAGACTTTTTGTTTCAGATCCGATCCGCCTATTCGACTGGCTGAGCGCACACAATAACGTCGACATCTCGCACGTGTTCCCCCAGCTGATCCCTGCCGGGGAGCTGGAGGGGGTTTATGCTCAGTTTTTGGCGGAGTGGCCAAAGCTGAACAGGGAGCAGAAGAAGTTCAGGGCCCGCCAGATCGTGAAAATCCATCGGGATCGAGAGGAGGCTCGGGAAATTGGTAGAGAAGACAAAAATATCGATTATATTTGGGTTTTAAAGGGAGTGGAACGGCAAGAAATTATTGCTTTTATCATATTGGAAACCAGCAAAATAGTAATGACAATTTTTGGCTTCCCAGCCGTCTTAAGATATCTTGCGTCGTAAATTGCTGTCACGCTCCCTTTATAAAAGCTTCATTCAGAAACTGACGTCAGCCTTGAAGAACTTGCTGAAGAGACGACGACCACTTTGTCAACACCAACGACTTCAACCTGGTCAACGACAACTTCTACAACGACGCCTCCAGCAGAACCAACATCGACACAACGGCATCGAAAGAAGGACAAAACGACGACAGCGCCAAAGGAGACCACTACAGCTATGGGTAAGTTCATAACTCTCTCATTCTCGCCCTCTCTCTCTCTTTCGCGTCAAAACTATTTTTTTCAGAACCCGCCACCTTCGTCCATTCCGACTTCGTGCCCCTGGTTACCGTCCCAGCTGGCAGGACCGTCAAATTGAGCTGCAAGGCGACGGGAACGAACTTGGGGGTAAGCATTCTGTTTTTAACGAAATTGACTTAATTTTAGTACGTTTGGCACAAAAACGGAGCCGTCGTAGTCCAAGGAAGTCCAAGAGCCACTGGATACATCTACGGCTTGCGGGGTCACGCTTTAGAACTGGAGGATACAGTACCTTCGGATTCTGGGATGTACAAGTGTATTGTAAGTTTTGGAAGCAATTCTTAGGCTAGGCTTGGGTTTGGGTTTAGACTAGTTTTGTCTAGCAATATGCATCGCTTTTATAGGTTCAAAACCCACTTGGCTCTATCGAAAGGACGTACATTCTAAAAGTTGTTGAACGACTACGCTCGGCTCCTTTGATCCTACCAAATGTGCTTCGGAATCAGACTGTTAATGTCAATGGTAAGTTTCTCTCACTTACTCGCTCTCACTCTTTAAACTACTCTTTCCAGGAACGGCGACCTTCACCTGCGAAGTTATCTCGGACCTGACTCCCCACATCGTCTGGGTCCGAATTAACCGTACCGATGGAGAATATTACTTTCAAATACCCACCAACGGCTCTAATAATCAGCAGCACCACAAAAATGAGACTGTGTTTGCGTATACCAGGATGGAGAATCATCCGGTAAGCGGAAAATGCGATAGAGCGAGAGAGAAAGAGAGAGAGAGAGAGATTGATAACAAATTCTATCCCCAATTTAGAAAGCTACAATCTACAACAGTGCCAACGCCTCTACGCTCCGTCTCGTCAACGTTACTGTGGAAGAACAAGGGATTTACGCATGTATTACAGGAAATTCTTTGGGAAAGGTGGGTTTTTATTAATGTGTGTAGTCCTTGAGACATGCAGATTATAAAATATCGTCCTAAAAACGATTAAATTTGCATATTTCAGGTGATGGCCAACGCTACTCTTACTGTTAATGAATTTCGTACCCTGACGCTACCCACTGGAAAAGTAAGACCACTACTGTAACTTTGAATTAAACACTTTTTAGGCCCAACCCCAAGGAATTCCGTTGAGCTACTTGATCCTGACGCTCATCTTCTTGTTCCTGCTATTTTTGCTGTTTTTGGTCATCTTATCTTACTATCTTTGCATCCGTGCCAGCAAGAAGAAAATGGACGAGGCCGCTAGGTTGTTGCCGAGGAGGAAGAAGGTACGAAATGGACATTTTTTTACATTTTACCTTTCCATCTTACCTTTTAGCCTTTCGAACGCAAGAAAGCGTCCTCTAGCGTAGCTTGGCATTGTCGATACCGTTGGCGTAAGCTGTAGTCCCTTAAAATACTATAAATGTTGGCTTTTTCTCAAAACATATCCTTTTTTCCAGGTCGTCGTCCGTCAAAAGGATCACGATGGAACTCGGGCCGGCTGGGCAGATTTGCCATCGACCTACCAAATCCAAATCATTGAACAATCTCCACATGGAGCAAGACAATCCCATATTTCTTCCGATATGACAATCAACTGCGAGTATGAGATTGAGGAGGATCCGGCATGGGAGTTCGAGCGATCGAGGTGAGTCGCTCTCTCACTCACTTTCTCACTTCCTCTCTCTCTCTATCCCTCTCTCCCTCCCTTCAACGCTCTCTAATTCAGAATCGAACTCATTGACGTGCTCGGCGAAGGTGCTTTCGGAGAAGTCTGGCGTGGCCACCTCAACATTGAGCCTGAAGACTACCCCGAAAACGCGATCAGCAGAGTTCCCTTCAAGCAACCAATCGCTGTCAAAAAACTCAAGAATACAGCCCATGAGCGTGAGCTTCGAGATCTGGTGCTCGAGATGACCATCTTGAAGACGTTGGAAGAAATGGAACCCGCGCCTGGGAAGGAGAATGTGTTGAGGATTATCGGGTGTTGCACCGGAGTTGGACCACTTTTGGTGGTGCTCGAGCTGTGTCAGCACGGGAATTTGAGGTATGGCATTAAAAGTGAGCAGCGATTTGATTGCAGAATCGTTTTCAGTAAATGACCGCGCGTAGAGCCCTGATTTTTAGCGACTCTTAAAGATTTTTAGATTTTTTTAAGAGGCAGATGCCAAACCTAGAATTTCTGAAACTTTAATAAAAATTCTTTCAAATCAAAAATGTATAGTAAAAGTTCAAGAAAATTCAGGTTTTCTGTTTCATGGCATAATGGTCGGTAAATCGCGTAAATGTTAGCGCTTTTTCTTTGCCTTGACGACGATTAATTTGATAAAAATAAACTAATTTCAAAACTAGCGATCGCCAAAATTCCCATTTTCTAGAGACTTCCTCCGCGCCCATCGACCCCGAGCCGAGCGTGCCATCGAATCCGTGCCCAGCTCGCCTATAAACAAATCAAGTGGAACCCTCCAAGATTACCTGGAACCCAGGAGAGCCCAAGAACGAGTCCTTATCGACCCACTGACCCAACGTCACCTTGTCGATTTTGCCTATCAAGTAGCGAACGGAATGCACTTCCTCAGCAGCAAGCAAATCATCCATCGGGATCTGGCTGCCAGAAACATTTTGGTGGCCGATAATTTTGCGCTCAAAATCTCGGATTTCGGACTATCGAGGAATACGTCGAGTTCAAAGGATTATTATAGAAAGAAGGTAGGTTTATAAGATGAAAATATGCTGTAAAAATTCCCAAAATCGCTGCTAGTTGTCTTGAACTTGTAGAATCGAAAATATCTCAAAAAGCCTTTCCTTTCAAAGCGGCGGAATTGCAATTTCAATGAATTTCCTTTCCACCAAATTTCCGCAAAATTCTTAAGGGTTTCTGCTAGCTTGCCCTATTTGATGCAGCGTGTTTAGTATTCAAATTAATATACAGGCTGCCGTCCCATCGTCGCATTTTCAGGGCAACGGACGTCTTCCCGTAAAGTGGATGGCCCCGGAAGCCCTCGATGCCCATATCTACACAACCGAAAGTGATGTGTAAGTCAGCTTCAAAGACCTTTGAAAACACTATATTTCAGATGGTCCTACGGCATCCTGCTCTGGGAAATCATGACCCTTGGTGGGACCCCATATCCAACCATTCAAATGCATCAACTCTACAACTACCTCAAAGACGGCTACCGTATGGAGGCGCCTCACAATTGTCCGCAGGAGATTTACCAGATTATGATTGGGTGCTGGCAGGTGAGAAAATCGGCATAGGCTTAGCTTCTCCTCGACTTACTTTAGGCTTAGCTTTGTTAGCCTCCGGCTGAGAAGAAGTCCAAATCATATATTTTTCAGGAAGCCCGCGAAAAGCGCCCATCCTTCGCGATGATGCGCGATTATCTGCAGTGGATGTTGGCAGAGACGGAAGGAGAAGAAGCTAATGACGACGTAGGATTACTATAGACATTTTCTGAACCTTATATTTTAGCTGGAAAGCCGTCCCTCCGATTCATCACACAACGATTTGGACCACTTTGCGCCTCCCCCTCCGAAAAGTAGTGAAGCCGGGTCGCTGCAGAGGAAGAAGGCTAGGCCGTTGTCGGCTCCGGTGATGTTACCTATGGAGGTAGATAACGTTCTCTCTCTCTCTCCCTCTCTCTCTCCCCTTCTCGCTCGTTCCTTAACTTTACCGATTACGACACCTATTTCCAGGGAATGCCTCACACAATCTGTGACGACGACGAGGACGATGGTTCTGCCAGCGAGGACGAAGATGAAGGACCACTAATAGTCAATGGGCGAACTGTAGAGAAGCTTCCCTTACTTCCGACGGGTAAGTTTAATTTAATTTCCAGGGCCTTAAAACTTTTCCACACCGTTCGGAATTCAAATTTTTCGTATACAGCAGGTCTTAGCATCTGGAGCACAGCTTTCCCAGTACTTTTTTATGCTCTTAACATCCACAAAACTATTTCCCAGCCACCCAATCTATCGCTTCCGCTTCAGCCACGACCACCACCACCTCCAGCTCGAGCACTTCTGCGTCGAGCAGGAAGAAGTCGAGCTCGTCGTCCGACCCGCCAGATACCCCACCAGGTCCTGCTCCTCCCCCGATACACGAGAGGACGGCGGCGCTGCAGAGTCGGGTGGAAGGTTGGTGCTAGAAACAGTTTTATAGAAAAATCGCTAAAAATGAATTAGAAAAATTGAGAAAATTGAGATTGTTTTTTAATCCCGGTTTTTTGATAAAAAGATTAGCTGTGGAGTTTCCCTTTTTAAACTTGAAAAAATTTAAATAAATGTCGGTTAGATTATGCAAATTATTAAACTCCGATTTTCAAAATTTGTAGATTTTTTACCAAAACTGATTAAATAAGGGATTATATCGATAAATAACTGAATTCAATAAAATAGCAAAATATGCAAATTTCCCTAGGTGCGTGCCAAATTTCGGGTGTCATTTGTCTCTCTATCCTAACCACCTTCTATCTTTTCAAGCCCTATTCCACCGACCCGGCACCACACACCTCGTCCACTCGATGACCATCGATTCCGCGATCGGCTCACCTTCGCCACCACCTACGCAACAGCAGCAGCATACCCCACAGTATGCCAGTATCACACGGCAGATAGGTACGGTGGCGGGGCCATCAAATCCGCATTATAATAGGCAATTAGGAGCGACTAACTTGGCTAGCTTTCACGATATTGGTTGCCAAGCTTGCGCTAGAAATTCCGGGTACTGCAGAAAATCTTCAGATTTAGGTGCGGTTTTGAGGGTTAGAGATTAAGGGCGCTTAAAGGGACTGGGAAGAAGAGCATTATTAGCTTCTGGATTTCTTTAAAGATGCATTAAAAGGGCAAAGTATGTCTATAGATTTTCGGACTCTCAATGCGATACGCAACGCGGTAGGCAGATTGACATGCAACTCGGAACTTCAATCTATAGCAAATCTATCACCAAAAAACTATGTTGTTGCTTCTCCGCCCCTTTAAAGCGACGAGCTACGCATATATGTTAATTTTGTTGACTATGAGGTTCTTGTAGACAAGCAACACAAGTGGGCGCAACCGCGCGCGGCTCGCAACGCATACATCTCTGGACTGCCGTGAAGATTTTGTTTCAATTGCGCAATCCACTACACAGTGGAAAGGCGGGTGCGTCGCGTATCGCGGGGAATCAAGGGATCCAAAGACATGCCTTGTCGGGTCCTTTCAATATCGATTTTTTTGGGACAAAATTGCGTCAGAATATATTAGCGGCTCTGTAATGATTTATCAGCTTTTAATGGAACTGCTCGGCCTACTAGTCATTTTTTACCTTCAGGCACCTTGAAAATACACATAACCCATAGAGCTCATTGGAATAACTGCAGCTAAAGCTAGAAAACTTTTTAAAGAAACGAGGAACTCAATTTTAGTTTTTTTACTTACCAGTCCCTTTAAAACCCACTCAAGGCTCCCATACTACTCTATCACCCACCCCGCTGCCCTTACGCACCTAATTCCGAGTTGCAGGTCCCCGCCCCGGCCAGGACCACGATTACATGAATGTGGCCCGGGCGCCGAGCCCAAGTCGTGAGGTTCAAGGCAGCTACCGTAACCCATCCTCTAATTCTACGGATTACCAAGCTAATGGGCAGCGAAATAGGTAACCACACTTTGACCTCTGAAAACTAGTGCATTTTAGCCTCTCCCACTCCCCCCACCCCACCACCAGTACAAAGCTGACGGCCGAGGAGGCCCGGCGGCACTCCATGGACTCGAGGGCCTCATCAGGTATATGACTTTTTTATTGCGATTTTAACTGTTCAGGCAAATGGGGTGGTTTTAAAGGGGTTGGCAAATCAGGAAAAGCTTGAAACTGAACCTAAAATTGATGAACTTTGCATAAAAATGGAATACGGGCTTTTTTTGAGCCACCTGGTTGAAAAAGAATAATATTTCGCATCTTTTCATGCTGGTTTTTATAAAAAGAGAATTGCATGTCGGCAACGATTGGTAGAAGGCATTTTAGGTCGTGATCTTTAATATTTATTGTTTAAGATTCGACGATGCTAATTTTTCGCAAGATTTTGTGTGCTGTTAATGTCGTAATCAATCCATACATAATCAATTCAACTTAATTTTTCAAGCATTCATTTTAGAAAAAAACCCGCGATACTCATAGTAACTTTTCACGATTTATCAATGCTGATTTTATATTTTTCGGGTTTATTTAACGTCATAATCGATTTATAGCTACAAATTTAAATTACGAAAAATTAAAAAAATTATAAATGCAGTTAAAACATAAACAAACGGCAATTAGTGAAAAACTGAAAATCCGATTTTTGATTCAAACATATTCCGGCTAAAAATTGGGGGTTCCCGCGTTTTTCAATGTTTGGAATACCTCTAAGACAAACCAGAATAAAAAATCACGCACACAAAAGGTAACATTTCACGCGTTTTAGAGCATCAGGAAAGCGCGGTTCAGACAAATTCCGGCTAATGGTTGCGGATTTTGGCGTATTTCTGCCTTTCCAAGGCCGTTAAAACACCCGGAAACTGATAACAACGTTTTCTACATTTTGCCATATCAAAAAGCGTCTTTCAGCTTTCTTTTTCAGGTCGTGGCGGTTCGTCGGGCGTCTCCTCATCTGAGGGAATCGGTGGCCTATCAGATTTGGTCCAAATTGAGATCCTCCCCTCATCCTCCTCTTCATTCCCCACAGCCAGAGTTACTCGGCCAGTATCTTCTACTGCTGTCCCTACCGTATCCACCGATACTGTACCCCCAAACTTACCACAGCCCCCGCAAAATAACCTCCAACGCCACCCGACCGAACGAGCCCCCCGAGTCACCCGTACCTCTAGTCCAATCGCGAAAAATGACGTGCATTTTGGATAAGTGTTCATGTGCATAAGTTTATTTTTTAAATAAATTTTAATTAAAAAATTCCAAAAATAAATTTAGGAAAAATCAACGGAATCCGTTTGTTTTTGCATTTAGTGATTTCGATTTTTCTGCCTTTTTGAAATTTGCCCAATCATTTACGAGCTTTAATTTTTAAATTTTTTTTAAATGGTATTTTTTGCAAGCATCGTCTTGCGAATTATTTTTTTGACGTGTTGATTCTTTTATGCAACGATAAATTATTTTTATTTAAATTGGAAAACTGGTAAATCGCGCTTGAATTCTGAAGCAACTAAATTGAAAGTCTTCTATTAAATAAAGGTGTTTTATTATTAAAACTTGTTTGAGCTCTGGAATCAATTGAGCCTCCAAATGACTTTTTGGGGGGATTCTGCTCTTATCTACATATTAGCCCTTGCCTCATCCGACGCCTTTTCATTCTGTCCTATCTCCCGGCCAAGAGCACTTCTTCAAATACTGTGCTAGTTCCCATAGCCTTACCCGCTGCTGATACGCTTTAAAGCCGAGCCTGCGCTCATCACGAATCCTGCTACATACATGTCGGGACCAGAAGGAGTAAGGTCGGTGCTTACCACTGAATAACCCGAAATTGCGCAATTTAATATGGCATTTGCTGTTAAGTGGAGACTAGGATAGTGACGACGCAGATGTAAAAAATTATCAATGCGTGCCACGTTAGCAAGATCCTTGTTATTCACCTATAATATTTACGAAAAACCCTAATTAATATCGCAAATGGCTTGATTTCTAAAGTCTGACCTGTCGGCGCGCTTACCCATGGTTTTCACGCCTATTCACGCTTCTGCCCAATCGTTAAGCCTAACCATGAACAACGGGACAACCTCATGGAAGTGTGCATGCAAATTTGCACACACATAGTCACCATTTTCTATGCATAGTAGGGGAAATACGCTGGAGGACTTTAAAAAAACTCGAAAATAATTTTGTGTTTAGCATCGATGATGGAGGGCTGAGTGACGCATTTGGGAAGTTGTCGCTCAAAGCAGCCCCGTTTAAATACATGTTCTGGAATGTGAGCAATTTCTGCTTCAAGTGCGACGCAAAAATCACGGACATAGTCGTTCTCATGAAACGTCATGCTGTGGAGTTTTGTTTTATCAATGAAGCTCACTTGCTTTATGACGAATATCGCCCTAATAACGATAAAGATTGCAAGATCTCCGCGTTCGCGAAAGAGATGTCGCAAGCGGGAATAGCACTCAAGCTCGGTGTGAAGTGGGTGCGATGCGAAGATGCCATTCATCATTACCTTGTGGGAGATAACCGAGAGAAGGTGAAGATGCTATTGATATATCAAACAGAAACCGAGGAAGGCAAAAAGCTCTCGGATGCAGATCTAGCATACGATGTTTTTCCGATGGTACCACCTGACCCTGAAACTCGAGGCGATCGCATATTCACTGTCAAAATAGGCTTGACAACCTTCTTGTTCATGCATCGACAAACATCCAGCATGACATGTACCCCTCCCAATGAACAGTCGCGGTTTGTGAAGTGGTTCAGAAAAATACACGGATCCAACCAAAATCTTCTCCTATTTGGCGATCTGAATTTGCCCGGAATGGATTGGTATAAGTTCGAACCAAGGCATGCCGTTGAACATACCCCACTCACCGAAGATGTTGGCGAATTTCTAAAACGCAATCAATTCGACCAAGAATGGGTTCGAGAGGTGACTCGCAGGGGAGGCTTCTATAGCAAATTGGATGTGATCCTAAGTCGAAAAAAGGGCCCCTGCCCCCTGGGTAAAGCAAAGGTAGAATGGATGGGACACAGTGACCATGCTGCCATCCTCTTCAACCTTATCGATGCAGAGGCACGCCAGCTCTCCATTGACGCTACACCGAAGCACGCGATCTTCCTGAATGCCCCATTTGATAAGGCTCAAACGATAACTGTGGAGTTCCAAAACTTAGCTGAAGAATTTAACTTTTCCATACGATGCAGCGACCCAGAACTCATCAGTGTGGCCGCTGAAGGTGAAGATGAAGGTGGCCTAAGCGTCGAAGCATGTTCAATAAAACAAATGCGATTAATTTTTACCATTCCCATCCCACAAAAATTAGAAGGCAGGCTCAACCATCTAGAAGCGGAAGGCTCCCATTGGCTGATACTAACCCACATGCGGTCCCACGAGCAATATCATTGGCGCATCCTATTCAATCGTCATACGGAGGCCTCCCTGGCTCTATAGGGTTCGTATAAAAATACCCCGTACTGACATCGCTTATCGATAAATCTAACACGACCGGCAAGCAAAACAACAATAACAACAACGTATTTGTAAAAGAGATCACAAATAAAACTCTCTCCCTCGGATTTATGACACGTACAAGGTACACACAGTGCTAGCCCTCAGATCCTGCTCACGATTATTGCTTTTTTAGTTCGCAAACCTGACCTAGTTTTCATATTTTTTTCCGCGTTGATTGGTTCGAACCTAAGATTTTTGTCGGGCTCTTATACCCACGTTTGCTAGCAGAGCAGGCGCCGCCAAAAAACGTGCGAAGCCCTTATCGCTGCGCTCTGGGCACAATACCGTGGCAGTCTCTTGGTTTATGGGCCTCTAGGCCTAGCCTCCCGCAACCAGCTTAACACCTAGAAGCTAGTAGTTAACAGGAAGTCTTTCCATTTTTTGTGGGATTTTTGGGGGAAGTCTACCTCTAACAAAAACAGCACATTAGTAAACTGTAAGCTAAAAGTCTTTTTCGAGCTACTTTCCTTCTTTTTTTTTAAATATTTTTTTCTCGATCTTTGCTATCTTTTTTTCGAAATAAACAAGGCTTGCCCTGAGACTCCTTTCAAAAAACTCTCTTGATTTCTGGTCTTTGAAAATTCAATTTTTTTATATAGGAAGACGCTTTCGTTGGAAATGGATGGCAACGGAAAGGGGGAAGATGCGGATGGGGCTCCACACCAGACCCCGATAGAAAAAACAGCGGGCAAAGCGATAAAAGTGATGTGCTGGAATGCGGAGAATTTCTCTAAAGACAATACCACGGTTCTTGCAACGATGATTGGTGAGCATGACGTTGCGATATGTTTCCTGCTTAACCTCCCATGTGCCGATCAATCAATATTAGAGTCAATTCTCAGCGGGTTAGTAGATCAGCTGCAAGGGTATTTATATAGCCTTCGCCGAGATAATTACCACGACACTCGTGAGGCAATCGTCTACCGGGACTCCCCCATGGCTAGAGTCAAACAAGTATACGCTCCACCGCTACGGCCCTATACGTTTTTTTTGGATGACACGGCGTACTCTTGCCTATATATTCCGTCCTTAAATCCACGAACATTGGGTTACCGAGATGTTTTGGAACAATCCAAGTGCCTGCGAAAAGTGCCCCAGATCTTCGCTGACGATTGGGATCTGGAAAAGAAAAATTTCTTCCTGTTTTGCGACCGCAGCTTCCCTGATGTGAACTGGTATCAGCTGGATCGCCGACCTCTGTGCTCTGCGTATCCCTCCAAAGAATGGGCGTTGAATATCGGTGATGTGAAAGAATGGATCCGTCAACCCACCCACCAGGATGGCACACAGCACAGTGTCCTAGTCAGCAACACTATCGCAGCAAACATCAGACAGAAGACGTCAGAGATTACTGGAAGTCTAACCAAGCCTACAATGAGCAAGAATTCTCCTGTTGGGGCCTCGGGTTCCAAAGGCCGTGCTGGCATTGCCGAAGCGCGAAAGAGGGTCAGCATCAAGAAGAAGCCGTTAGTGATTCAGGTAATAGAGCAGGGATCAGGTGACCCATCCAACAATCATCCGCGACCGATCAACGATCACTACGCCACCATCTATGAGACCATTCAAAATAGCCAGCTGCAAATCAAGGCCGAGCCCACTTATGCAGTATTTTTTAATGGATGCAAAGAGCAAAAGTACAATTTGAAAATCGAAAACTTGGGGGCACCTTTTGGATATCAGCTATGGTCTGACGAGCCTGGCTACATCGAACTGACGCCGAGCGAAGGTTCTTTAAACTCGGGGGAAGCTGCCTACCACACAATCAAAGTTTCGTCTTTCTCACCACCTAATCCTACAGACTGCAAATGGATCTATTTGAAGCACAAGGACACTGAAGAAGAATATTACTGGAGGATTATTTACAACCAAACAGTTCAGGCTTCTGAGGCTTTCTAAAACTGGATCCTGACGCCTAAAAATCGTGAGTTTTGGCTTTCTTTGTATTAGTCCTGTTCTTTGAAATCCTAAAAAGGCTTTTTAAGATATCTTCACCTTCAAATGGCGACTCCCACCCTGCCCTACTTCCATTCCGCACCAATGAAATTTTTGAGCATCAGAATAAACGAAATACGGAAATATAGATAAAAATAGCGCACATCAAAGCGTTAGACGAATTTAAAAAATGATGTTTACAGGGTGTCCCAACAAAAAAGTCACGCTGGCTTTTTGCTATTTCAAATCCGATTGACTTGAAATTTTGAAGAGAGGCGCGAAAGGAGAATTTAAAATATTCACAGAAACTTTTAGCAAGCCGATACCAATAATTGCATAAATTTTATTTTTATTCGGCATTTGCGCTTCATCCTTTGTTCTGAAGTTACATTCCCAGTCAGGTGCTTAGCAGATCCAAAACAAAAGCAATCTGGTGCAAATCGTGCACTTGTAGCAACTTTCTAGCGCTTGCGTGTCTGTCACGAGTGACCCAACACCCAGTCCGTGCCTGTAGCAATTTTGCAGATTATTAGCGCCATTTGGCCAACTACCCGTTATCAGTAGAAGATGGCCATTCTAGGGGATTTAAAATGTTTTAGGCTGGGCGGCTGGATAAGCCGGTGTTTCAGGCGTCAATTCGACTTCAACATCGGTCCGAAAAAAGACACGTAACTTTCCTGAATTTTTATTTTTCACGCGACACAGACAGTCAGGGCCGTAACAAACCCAAATTTCGGGGGGGGGGCGACCCCAAAAATTTTTCACTAATATGACTAAAACTACAGCGCCGCAGGCAAAATTTTTGAAAACATAAGGTTTATAACACTAAAACTAGTGTTAAAAATAGACAAAAACAGCGCCGCAGGCAAAAAAAAATTTTTTGGAAAAATTAAATCATAAGGGTCCCCCCCTTATAAACTTTTCGGCCTTCGGCCGATTTCGGGGGGGCTCGCACTTTTCAGACCAGAGAATGAGAGAAACGAGGGTCATTCAGCCCCGACTGATCCCCGGGCCCATAAACCTTCGCAGGTCGTTTCGCCTAGATTGGCTGCATGTGTTTGTCTGGCTGCCGCTTGAAATAGGGAAGAAGAGATTCGGGGTTCTAAAAAGAATGTCTGACTCACCACGATCCCGGCCTCGACCACGGGCTTGCTGTTGGCCTATTCTTGGAAGGTGCTGGTCGTAGCCTGTCATGGCGTTTAGCTTCGAAGTTTTTAGACACTCATATAAATGAAAGCGCTGTTTACAGTGACCCGGATTACTGTGGCTGATACAATAGGCTCGCCGACTTATCAATTGTGCTACAGCGCGATGAAGGGCTGAGACCAGACCTTTTTCAAATGCCATTTTTCCCGGGCCTCGTTGAGGGTTTTGATCCTTAACTTGATTCTAGATTATTTCTTTACATTACTGAGTTGGTCCTCCTTTCGAAAAATAAGATATTTTTTGATCTTGAATCTCAACTTTCCCAAAAAACCGACAACCGGTAACAAAATTGATCGGAGTATACGCGCAACCGTATAGAAAGAACGCGCCGGCCGGCCTTTTGGAACGCTTGGGGCCTCGCCATTCACTCCCGACGGATCCGATCGCCCATCAAATAGCACAGATCGTTACGTCGCGCAAAAAAGCACGTTCGGCTCGCTCAGTGCCTGGCCTTCGGTGCGACTCGGGAGATTGATTTTTGGATCCCAATTTTTGGCAAAAATTTACTTGAATTCTTCTAAGCTAGCCGCTCTCGTTCGCTCTCTCTCTCTCTCTCTCTCTCTCTCACTTTCTCTCTCTCTCACTCTCGCGCTCTATCTATCTTTCCCATTGACTGATTTCATTGGGTTGTGGGGTCCATTGGGTTACATGTTCCTTCAATTTTAGAACCAATAAGCGAACGACCTTCTTTTGCGCTGAAGCTCAAGGATCCGAGCCGAGAACGTCACAATGTCGGAACGGGAAAACCCAAAGTAAGAATCAGTTGGATTTGATGACTAGCCAAAAATGCGTGCAAAAGGGTTGTCGGCCATATGCGATCACTTGACGCAAGTGATTTGGGACCTCCCCCCCCCCCCTTCGCCGCTGTCAGGGGGGTAAAGTGAACTCTTATCCTCTAAATCACGCTTACTGTTTCAAATTAAAAAAATCCATGCTCACGAGTAGGTCGCTGTTTGATACGGTCAATAGCTTAAACGCTGCTATATATTGGCGCATGCGAAAAACCCGAAGCGCCGGGGTGGGGCTCATTGAAAACATGGTATTGCTTTCTATCCGTTTATAGGGGCTTTTCCAGAAATGAGATCGAGGAGTCAAGCTCGGATGATTCAGCACGAACGGTGTCTGCTCAGGGAGGCGGCCACACGGAGAACAACACGGTAGTCGAGATAGTCGTCGAATCGGAAGCAGCACCCGACCCGATCAAGTCTAATGAATCACCTAAAGCATTAGGGCCCGAAAAGGCTTTCGATGTCGATGGACTCGTTGAAACGTTTGAAAGGGTTTTAAACGTATCCAAAGCAACAGAAACGGTTGAATACGCAGGAACGATGGACATTGGCGAATCATCAAGCAAAGAAAGCCAAGAGTTGGCTACAAACTTGTCAGCGACAAGCACATCGGCGCAGCTCGGGCTAACGGAGCTTCAAAAAGCCTTAACCTCAGGGACGGTTTCGGAAACCATCAATATCCCAGCAACGGTAGAAAGCTCTGATGCGACACCGGTAACACTCGTACCCGTAATCGAACCTCCACCTGCAGAAACATATCAGTACATGTTTTGGAATGTCAACACTGCTCCCTTTGAGAAAAAAACCTTGCCAATAGCACAGAAGATAGTCAAGCTGATGATGAAATTTGTCGTCGATTACTGCTTTATCCTTGAAGCACATTTGCTCTATGAGCGTCCATCTGAGCCCGATCATCAACATCTTTGCTTTTTCGAGGAAAAAATCCAGAAACTGTGGACTGACGCAAACGGACCACGCCTACAAGTCAGGCACGTCAACTCTGACCAGGGTCCTACCACATATCATTATGACGGTCGCGACAAGCCGAAAAAAGTGAAAATGTTGTTGATCTATCAAAAAGGGTTGCCGGAGCCCATGCTAAAGTACGATGTTTTTCCCATGATGCATACCAAAGAGCAAGATAGGGGAGATCGGGTGCTGACCGTGGAAATTGGTTCGACTACTTTTCTTTTCATGCATCGGCAGACGAATAGCATGACCTGCACGACGTTGGAAGAAAAGAGTCCGAGGAGGGCTATAAAACCGGAGTTCGTAGAATGGTTCAAAGATCCTGACGAAGGCCCGAACGATTCACAGAACCTCATCATTTTTGGGGACCTGAACCTGCCAGGTATGGATTGGCATAAACTCAAAGCTAAGCCTTGTATCTCAAATCCTAATATTACAAATGACTGCGGTACCTTTTTCCATGAGAATGGATTTAGCGCGGAATGGGTACGAGAGGTGACGCGCTTTCAAAAAGAAGATCTTAAATGGGAATTTAATCGCTATGTTAAGTATTCACGGGCATATACAAGGCTGGACGCTATTTTAACCAAAAACGGAGGCGTACGACTCGCAGGGAAAGCAAAAGTGGAATGGGTGAAGCGCTCTGACGCACCGGAAGATTATCTCAGCGATCACGCCGCCATTCTTTTCAACCTGATTGAAAAGGAAGAACAAAAATTGAACATTGAAGTGACCCCGAAGTATGCTATCTTCCTCAACGGGCCTTTTGATCCGGAGGAAATCGTGACTAAAAAAATCGATAGCCATGGCGATCCCGTAATTTTTTCCGAGGAATGCATCTTGCACAAAGTGCCGCGAGCCATTTTTGTCAATCTAAAAATCATTAATCAAGGGGATTCCTTCGAATTCTCCCTGAAATGCTCTTCGCCCAAAGTGACCGTAGATTCCGGTGCGCAAACCTTGGAAGTCGAAAGCGGCAAAACAATCAACTTGCAACTCAAGTTCACGGTTCCAAATCCAGAAGACGTAAAGGGAATCAACCACCTTGAACCCGACGGCGCTCAGTGGCTTATACTGACGCATAAAACATCGAAGGAGCAGTACCATTGGCAAATCCTGTTTAACGACGAAACCGAAGTATCGTTGGCGTTTTAAAGAACGCGTTTGCACATCCGCGCGCCCTTTTCTCTCTCTCTCTCTCTCGCTCTCTCACTCTCTCTCGCTCGCTCTCCTCTCCCCTATCGCTCTCTTTTTCTCCCCCCACGCTCTCCTTCTCACTCGCTGCCTCTCTCGATTAAGGTATTCCAGGTAAAATACCTTTTCTGTTATGGCATCCTGCTGACGCTAGTTTCGGAACGCTCTCGCTCTCGTTCGCTCCTCTCTCTCTCCCTAGATTTTTTGCCGAATCTCTATCTCACCAAGTCGTACAGCTTTGGATATTTTTTTATTCCGTTTCTAGTTCCACAATGAAATAAATATTTCAAGGTATATTCTTGCCCAAAAATTTGTTTTTTTATTAACATCGGCATTTCAATAAATTCTTGGATGTAATATACACTTAAACAACAAAGATGGAATAAAACGCCAAACATTGTTAGCAACTTCTTGATCTAGGTGCTTGCACCTCATTTTTGACATACCGTGAAGCATTGGTTCCGGCAGTTTCACTTGAGCAATTTAATTTATTCATTGAGTATCAAACCCGAATAGGATCGCTAAAAGGCACGCAAAACTTGTAGTTTAGAGTTCAGTGTGCACACGATGAGCATGGGCTCCGGGGAGTCGGCTCTTGCTCAGGTGATCGCTTCCGACAGCTTTCGGAATTCTCTTTAGCCAGAATTCGACGAGTTTTGGGTCAAACGTCTAAAAAGCGAGTTAAATTAGCTTTTTACATCGTTAAAATTGTTAAAACGCTAAAATAAATACCTTTTCCATGTTAGGTGTTTCGGCAAAGTTGGCGTAGGTCCAGGGCTTGTCCTTCGAAACTTGGTCCCATTTGAACGAGTCGGTCGAGGGGTTACTGTAAAAATAGAAGCTGTTAGAATTTAAGAACATTAATAAATTAAAATTACGTCTGCGTACCATGTGATATGGGTTTTACGTGGTTTTAGAAATCTGGAAAAACGATTTTTTTGGTTTTTACGAAGTGCTGTATTTTCAAAAAACCGAGAAGATTCCAAAATTTTAATCATATAAAATACCATTAATTCTAGCCGTTTTAATACATAGAAAATGTTTGTAAAAGTTAACTTAACAAAACTAGATTTTTTTGGCTTCAATAGAATAACCAAAAATTAAAATCCAAAATTTTTATTTAGTCTACGTAATTTAGGGGTTAACGAAATATCTAAAACTCAAATATATTTCTTTAAACCAACCCATTAATCACAAAATTCGCCAAACTGTCCACGAACGCCTTCTGGAATTTGGCATCTTCCGGCGCCAAATCTTCGTCCTTGATCCCAAAGATGTCGAAGAGGTACTTCAGCTCGGTGGCGTGCCAGGCTCCTGAATTTCAATTATAATAACTTAATCTTGATTTCAAAGTTAGATCGATATTTTCCTATTACCCTTATTATCGCGATCCAGCTTCTTCTCAAGCGACGACGTGTAGGTGATTTGATACAGCCAGCTGGGCCAGTTTTGGAGTCGTCGCAGCTCGAGGTCATGGAGCGTCGGGACAACGAACATCAGATCGGAGAGGAGCTGAAGTTTAACCGATATTAGCGCGCATATTGATGTCTAGGATCGACTAGGTCTAGACAGTTACGTTACGCGCCTAGTGACCCTTTGACGTCCGTTGGGAGCGTACAGAAAGTACAAACACGAACAATTTTAGAGCGTCACTTGATGCGCGCGGCGTTTCCAAGTCAGTTCTAGTTTTTACGTTTCCTGCAAAACATTAAGAAAGCTACAATACACATATTAAGCTTAATAATTTTGGTACAGAGATAAATTCGTGATGTTTACTTACCTCAGTATACCTCTGAACATAAAATTTGTTGTCTGGTTTTGCCGGAGCGTCGCGCTTGATGTAATACTCTTCGAGGAGGTCGAGGAAGGGACCCATTTTACGCCCTGGCATGTAGATTGTAGTTTGTAGTACAAAACAACGGTACCATGCTCATGTTCAGTAGCTACGTTTTCGGAGATGAACTTGAAGAACGCATCTCGAGTAAAGTTCTTCTGGTCCTCCTTGGTGAGCCGGACGCCGTTGAAGGCCGGGTAGCCCTCGAAGCCGCTGGCTGAAAAAAAACGGAATAAAGGTGTATGTGATTGTAAATTTCTAAGAATCTCTGCCAGCTTGCCTAGATCGCGCTACTAGAGAACGAGAGCGTAAATTCTGGAATTTTTGACATAAAAGCAATAGAAGCGGAGGGTTCCGTTCCCTTAAAAGTCAGGCGCTCTCCCTCCCTCTCTCTCACTCGCTCGCGCTCGCTCTCGCTTTCTGTTCTCTCACACTCTCTCGCTCTCGCCCTCTCTTCTCGCTCTCTCTCTCTCTCTCTCTCACTCTCCCCCCCCCTCTCTCTCTCCTTTACCAAAAATCGCCGATTCCTGATCCGTAAAGCCAGAAAGAACAGGCTTAGGCTGCGCCGTCTTAAGCATCTGGTCCAGAGGATACGGGAAGAATTCGCCGTCAATCCTGGGGTGGAACTTCAAGAAGTTCGGATGCGTGCGGCTAGGTCCCTAAAAGCATTGATATCGCAGCATTCCAGGGCTACATACAATCCTATCAACACCGTCCAGTATCTCCTGCGCTGTCCTCTCCCTCATGCAGTCCAGGATTTTCCGGGGGTCCTTTTCGTTGTTTTTCTGGCATCCAACCTCTTTGGCCAGGGCGAAGGAGTTCTAAAAATTGGATATTTGATTGGATTGCCGTACACATTCATTTATGAACTATTGAAACCGGTTGAAGCTAACTTCTATGAATTTTTTAACGATTTTAAAGCCATACCTCGACAACCGATTCGGATAGTGAATATTCCGCAAAAACGGATCCGGAGAGTTCGATCGTTTGATGGAAATAGACTAAAACATTGTGTTGTCGCAGGTATCATTAATTTACCATCTGCGTGTGGCGAAAAAGTCAAAGCACTAGCGGCAGAGGAACCGGCAGACTGTCCGGATACGGTGATTTGGTTGACGTTGCCTCCGAAGGCGGGGAGGACCTAAAAAGAAGAATTTCAGAGAGCGAGAGAGAGATAGTCAGAGAGACAGAGCCAGAGAGTGAGTGAGCTGGCTTTAACCTACATCGTGCAAGAACTCCAGAGCCGTGGCCATATCCCAAAGACCCATATTTCCAGGCGCAGTCGCGTCTCCAAGGGAGAAGAAGCCTAAAACAGATTTTGAAGGACTACTGTATCCAACGTATACGGCCGATTCGAAATTTCTATGTTTGCAGAAATAGAAAATTGATTGAAATATGCATTTTTTTAATTTTTAAGGAGCGGCAAAACCTACCAAGAGGTCCCAATCGGTATTGAATCGTCACGACAACAATTCCCTTAGAGACAAAGTGATCTACAAGCTTCTTGTAGCCATATTCCTCCGTGTTTCCGATGGCGAAACCACCCCCGTGGATGAACACCATTACGGGGTGGGTGCTTTGCTGAAAATTACCAGTTAATGATGAAAAACAACAAGATAGTAATGTCTTAAAACTCAAATCGTACAAGATCAGAAGGCGTCAGAATATTCAGGAAGAGGCAATCCTCGCTGAAGTCCTGTCGGTCGTTGACGTGGGCACGAAAAATAAGAACAATTTTTGCTCTGTCTAGTTATCTCTCTCGTTCTCTCACTCTCTCTCTCTCTCTCTGTCTCTCTCGCTCTTTCTCTCTCGCACTCTCTCTCCCTGTCTTTTTGTCTCTCCCGCTCGCTTACCTATGAACCGGAATGCAGGCAGCCCGGAATCTGGTGGCATGGTGCAGGAAGTCCCATTTGTCGACGATATGCGGCTTCTAGAAATATTTTTATTTATCTCCCTCCCACCCTCCCTCTCTCTCTATCTCGCTCCTCTAAAAAATACAAACACCACGCCCAAAACCAAAAACCAGGGCTTATTTTGGTCGAAAATAGACAAAACATAACAAGGAAACGCCCAGCTGCAGAATCTTCTAGTTTTTCGTCTTTTAAAATTCTTCATCGTCTTTAAATTCAATTTTATTTGTTAATGCATCAACAAAATCAAATTTCTTACCTCAAACCGATGGAAGTTATCCGGGGCGTTAGCATATCGAATTCCAAGGAAAACATTAGCACTCGACCCGTCTTTTGCTTCCACTTTCAGTCCTTGGACCTAAATTGATTTAAATTTGTGAGGTTAGTTCTTATAATTTGTTAATATACAGCTTATTCCATTTTTCGAGCAACTTACAGGCCCATATTTGGTGTTAACAATCGGGCCATCATCTTCTTTCGCCTCATCTACAGCTAAAATTCCCAGCACAAGGAGGGCGGCCAGGAAAAGCGGCCGCATCCTAGACATTGAATATTTTTACAACTTCTAATTCGTTTTGGAATCGTAAAAAGTATAAAAGGAGAAAGTCCGAGCAAATTAGCCACGGCCCGTAATTTTTCAATCTTGGCTGGTTCTAGCGACTTTTCGAGAGAAACATTCCGAAAGTTGACATTTTGTAGTTATTTTTAAATACCGTGAACATTTAAAAACAATAGGTACCAAGAAAAACAAAGCCACAACTACGTTTCTAGAACTTCTGAAGGTTGTGTCGCTCGATTGGTGTGTGTCTTGCTGACAGTGTGAGTTGATAAGGCGCTTTTTAACTGTTTTCTGGTCAGCGCTGGGGGGGTAGCAGGCAAAAGTGATGGGAGATACTTTAAAAATACCCTAAATTGGGTAATTGAATCTTCTAAAGTCAGCGGTGGGCACAAAATACAACGCAAAACTCGTCATTAATGCAACGAGCAAAATAGATTAGCAAAAATCAGCTATGGGGATTTTTAGAAGACAGGGAAAGCCAACCTCTCCTCTACGAAACGCTTACAAGTAAGAAGCCTTGCGAGGCTGTCCTGTCCTGGTGGTGCCCGTCCTTATGTGGCCCTGGTAGGGGTCAGCGAGTATGCAAATATTTGTGTATACCAAAAGGTAGGGGGGATGGGGGCCGTAGCCCACCACCAAAACGGCATCGCTGAATCACCACACCAGGGCGTGGGAGAGTTGGTATTGATTAGATTCGGGGGTTGGCCACCATTTTATGGGGACATTCGAGCTTGGTAATGGGTGAGGAGCTTCCTTAAAGGGTTATTGAAGGTTGAAGCTTGTTGGTTGATGCCTTAGTGCTACCTTGAAATCGTGAAACTTTTCGGATGCTGTTTACTAAGCTATGAGCAAGCTTGAACATCAAATTAAATCTAGCAAAAGGCGTTGGGGTCGGTGGATCGAGCATCTTAGAGGGATAGTGAAGCGTAGACTTTCAGTATTTTTGTAAAGGACCACGAAGATTTCGGAAAATATAACTCTCCATTTAATGATCTAGGAGATTATTGAAGCACTTTATCAAAAATCACAAAAGCGTGGAAAAACATACTCATGATTTTTTTAAACATTTAGATGCGAAAAAGAATTTTAAGGGGGGGATCCGGGTCTATACATTTAATCGAGGTGATTTTGAAAAAATAATAAAGTAGGGAAAATTATGAACATTAAATCAAGGTCCGCTTAATTTACATAAACGCGTTGTGCAAGATCATCTATCTGGAAATTACTGTAGATCGCTTCCATATCGCCTAAACGTAAAACGACGTATTAGAGGTATTACGCAAAATCAAATTAACGATCGATGAAGCGTGCGGAAATGTGGAAAAAATCTTTTAAAGTAGCATGGAAGGTGACAAAAGGACATTACTTTATCGAGGAGCTAGGCCAATATCCTTTTTCGATTGTTTACCGTAACATAAGAAGGCACAACCGGTTCTTTTTCCGGAAAAAGGCCTTTTCGGCCATTCTTGTCAGGAAAAGTTGTAGTTTGCGTTCGTTGCCTTTTTGTGTGTTCGTGCTTTCTTGCCGGGAAGGGGGAACGTTTGTTCAGCCGGTGGGTCGACGAGTTGGAAAGCGAAAATCTGAGTGAATGTACTACGGGTTCAAATCGGTCAGTCATTTTTGGCAAGGTGTCTTCGTTTTTCTGCTTGGAACGGATTTTTTCAGGAAGCTTCACAGTCTAGTTTTTTCAAGGCGTCGTCGTCGCAAAACAATTCCAACCCCAAAAATTCCTCAAATCGTGTGCTAATGCAAGGGTACACGAAACCGAGCTCGTGACGTTAGCGCATTGACGCGTCACGTGTGCGTTGCGGCATAGTTGCAGACACATGCCACAGCTTTTTATGCGCGTTGCGGTAGCGTTGCGATCATCGCAGGCGCGTTGCGGAAGCGTAGCGGTTCCGTTAAATCTACTCAGCTCCTATAATTTCACGAAAAAATACCTTAAGAGGCGTTAGGAGCTGCGTATTCATTAAGTTGCCTCTCTCGCCCTCGCTCTCTCTCTCTCCCTCTCTCTCTCTCGCTCTCTCTCGCTATCACTCTCTCTCTCGTCCCCCTCTATCTCTCTTTCGCTCTCGAAGTACCGGATCGCCACCGTCATTACCCCCGCTAATTCAAAAAATGTTTGCCCGGCCCCGACACAGCAGTCGATCCTCGCTCGTACTTCCATCAACACAACAAGGCCGGAAACGTATTGGCTGGCCCCGCGGAACGTCGCCAGCCAGCCTGCTAAAAACAAATTGAAGGGCAGGTTGTTGGTGTGTCGCGGCGACCTGAGATTTTGCTGATAAAGGCCGCGGTCCGGTCGGTAGCCCTTCACTCTTTTTTGGCTTTATGAATTTGAACAGCTGGGCATGGTGCATTTTTGCGCATTAAATTTTACCCTAACCAGCCCGTTTTTAGAACTTTTCGAGCTCCATGAGCTGATTATGTTGTTTTTGAGCCACACGGTTGTGTATTGGTGTTTTCAAATAGAATGTTTTAATTCTTGTATTTTAAACTCGATAATATTAGTAAATTTGGCATTTTAGGTGTTTCGTTGACAATTTTCACCTCCAGAAAATGGCACGGCCGGATTTACAGACCACTCCACCTACCCGAAAATCCCCGGAAATGGTAGCCAAGCGGATCAGAAGGGAGATTGGTGAGTTCAGACGATTTTATAGTTTTCTCTCGCGCTCTATCTCGCTCTCCCTCCCACTGTCACTCTCACTGAAGGTATATTGTCAAGATACCATTTCTGTTATGGCAATCTTGATGACACTAGTGTTTTGGGCAGTCTCTCACTCTCCTATTCCTTATCTCTCACTCTCCCGCTTTCTCGCACTCTCTCTCTCTCTCTCTCTCTCTCTTTTCTCTCTTTTCCTCGAATTTCCCAACACAATGACCAGGAACTGTTTTAACGGGGGGTGCCACTCAGCCTTATCACCCCAAACCCGACCTCATCCCCTTTGTGACCCCGGGGCCTGGGACCATAAATTACCGAGGAGTACCCCCGGAGCTTCCTTACCCGTCCTTTTTCGAGGGTACTATGGATTCTTGAAATATAGGAAGTGCCAAGGATCCCTACCCATAGTATTGTTGAAGATGAGCTTCTTTTATGGGCGAAAGGTAGGCTAGCAGAGATTTTTTGCAGAATTTTCTGAGTAAGGCAAGCTAGCAGAGATCCTTTGAAGAATTTTGCCTCACAAACCGTGGAGAAGAAAATTTATTTTATTTTCGCCAAGAATTAATGAAAAAACTGGCTTTCTCTAGGATTCTGAAATGATCTCTGCTTCATCTCAAAACCAAACTGGTTGTGACAATTGCAAAATTTGCAAACCTATGAATCGTCTCAGAATTCTATCACATTTTTCAAGTTTAATAATCCCTGTCTTTTTGTGGTAAGAGGTCGATAGATTCTTGCTACAAATCGTCGATTTTCTATTAAGCTGCTGCGACGAATAAAAAAATTACTGGGCCGGCCACTGCTCGGGGCGAGGGGCCGTGTGGGCAGTGCCCCCGGGGTTATCCTCCTCCGGCCCTTTCTCTGCTCCCTCTCTGTTGTAATGCTCTCTCGCCATGTTCTACTGGCCTTTCTCTGCTCCCTCCGTTCTTTCCCCATTCCCTCCTACCCATCTCTTCCCTCGTCTGTTGGACCATCGACCGCTGCTGGCATAAAGCCAATTTCCGGCAGTGGCATCTCGATATTTTAAGAGTATTTTAAGCTTTAAAGGGCTGTTGAAGGGAGGGCTATTTTTTTATATTCTATATTTTCGTTGAAGCCTACTATTCAGCGCAGAAGATAGCCAGTTTCTCGACGCTAATTTGCATAAAAACCTTTAATAAGCCTTTTTGGCGCAATATTTTTTAGCAGATTTTCCTGATTCAATTAGCAGATTTTCAGGTATCTTTATTCATCTATTTTTGGAACTTCATAAACTTTAAAAGCGTGGTCGCTTACGCCATTTAAATAACGAACTTTAAACTTTTTAAGGCGATTTGCTAGTCTAGTTTCCTTAATAAGGATGTTTTGAACCTTTTAGAAGCCAGATTAAAGCTAGAACGTCTTATTATTGTAAAAATGTTGAAAATGTCACTCACTTTCTAAAAAATCGATTACGTCATTTAATTCATCATTTCTAGATACTCTCCACCACCCTAGGTAATCCTTGTTTTCCCCAAAATTCCAGTACAATAAAATTTGCACTCTAAATCTGATCTCCGCTCCGCTAGACGACGCCTTTTTACACCCCCGATCTTATCAAAAGTCCACCACCTCTTGCCCCTGCCAGGGCGGGAAGCCAAACAACAACATCCCTCTAGTCCTGCCGCCGCATTTCCGTTGCATAAGGTCGCCAGGGTTTTCATCAGGGATTTTTTAAAGTTTTGTGGCTTCTTTTGGACCGTTTTTCAGTCTAGAAATCCCAATGATCGTGCAAACTAAGGGCTTCACTCGATTACACATTTTTTGAGAGCAATCTATCTAGTTTGCTTGATTTCCAGTCTGATCGAATGCTTTAAGATTTAAAACTGATGCTCTTAAGCAAACCATGGCCTCGTTAAAAGAAATTTTATGCCACGGATGCCTAAAATGTCAGGTTCTTGCTTATGGATTAAGCCTTGCAAGCCCATTTAAAAAGTGTTTTCTTGTGATCACTCGTTATCACTAACTCTCTCTCTCTATTGCTCTCTCTCCCTCAAAGTCTCTCCCTCTCTTTCCTCTCACTGGTCTCTTTCTCTCTTTGACAATTTTGCCTTTAACTGGACGATGAAGCCTAAAAAACCACCTATGCATCAATTCGTTATCGTCAGTCACGCATCGCTCCATTAGCAGTTTGCATCTGTCTGAACAGTTGGTCGCCCACTATCAAAAATCAGCTTATCCTTGTCGTAACCTAGTCCTGAGTAAGGGTCGATTTCGACGTCTCCTAGCCCCTTTAAGACACCATTTATGCAAATCACACTCCCCCAACCCACCTACCGCATTCCTCCACACCTCC